GGAGGTGGGGGGTACGGGAAGAGACTGGACAAAAATCGTAAACCTATGGACGTGGACAATGGAGGGGGGTAAGGGCAGGGGGTGGGGTGGGAACCGGGTGGAGGGGAGCTATGGGGGAAAAAAGAGGAACAACTGTAATAATCTGAACAATAAAGATTTATTAAAAAATAATTATTGGCAGCAAGATTAGCTGGAATACCAGTTTAACTTTCTTGTAGGTGATCATGTTAACTGAACATGGAGAACAGCTTGTAGAGCAGCAAAGAACCTTCGATGCTCTCAGGTCTCTTTGCTTTGCAAATGAGGACCCTGAGGCCCAGATAGGTACAGGGCTGCTGAGTGGCAGTGCCGGAACACAGTCCGGTCCTCCCGACTTCATGTTCCTGGGCTTTTCCCCCTGTAAATGGGGAATTTGTCTAGTGTCGGATTAGAGAATAGTTTAAGTACCTAAAGGTTTCTTTTTCTAGTCATCCCATCATTTATATGTTTTTATTATTGTGTATCTTAGATATGCCAATGTCAAGAAATGTAGTAATGAGGGTCGTGCCTTGATGCAATTGGACTTTCAACAGTTTTTAATGAAGCTTGAAAAACTAACAGATATTAGACCCATTCCTGATAAAGAATTCGTGGAAACCTACATTAAAGCCTACTACCTGACTGAGAATGACATGGAGCGCTGGATCAAGGAGCACAGGGTGAGAGCTGGAAAATGGATAATTAAGTTTTTATTCCTTTTCCTTGCATCTGTTTTAGTCTGGTATATTATATAATTCAGTCATGAGAACGAAACATAAAGAAACATTTGCTTTTTTAGTGTGGACTACTTAGGCCATTTCTTTACCATGTTCACACAGTGTCTGTGCAATGCCCTTTGCCTAATCAAATCTTGAGACCTTTGTGCACTGTAACAGTAATTATCTAGAAAGAGAGCCACAGTCTGAACGTTAGCTATATTTATCCTCCCGCTGTTGTAGGAAAAGGCTGAAGTGGGTTAACATCAAGACAAATTGAATACAGCCACACTGAAATACAGTCACTAGCTCGTCTTAAACAACTCCTTGCATCCTTCAACAATGAATGAATGAGTGACACCCTCTGAACACACTGACATGTAGTAGTGATGATTGAATGCGGTAATATTAAATGGCTAAGTGTAACTTCATCCTCCATTAGATTTTACCTTAAGTGTAGATGAGATTATTTTTCTTTTGTGTGGCTTCATAGATAAGTAGAGAAAAAAAATACAGTTTATGAAGTGTTATGTAGGATGCTGAATTTTTGACACAGTTCAAATCAAGATATCACTAGAGCATGCTTATTACGGGAGCTTTTCTGTGTGATTGTTGTAGCGTTTGTCTAAGTAGGCAGTATGTGAAGACAAATTTAATGAAAGTGTGGGAAGTGTTAAAATTGCACCGAATCTCATTTCTTCAATGACTCTAGCATTCGTATTTATTTGTGCTATAAACATCATCAGTAAAGACCAGGGAAACACCTCATTTGACTAGGTAAGGACACAGGAGTTACTTACATGTACTTTATGAGGCTCATCCTTTCTGGTTTCAGTATTCGAGAGAAATGAAATGACCATTAGCCTGAGTTTTCTGTGGATGTGCCCATTTGTAGGTCAGTTTCACATCTCTGGGAGCAAAGTAGAAATGTACATGCTATTTTCAAAGATTTCAGAATTGAGAAAAATGCCACCATTTTTAGTCCCACTGTCCTCTGACATTTGTGAACCATAATGCTAACCCAGGTGCAGATGGATGCTGAGTGTTGCCAGGATCCATTTAGTAAAGTAAGCTGTCAACACTTGGGGATTGGTACTGAGAAGGAAGCTTGGGGAAAGGTTACAAGTAGCTGAGGACAGAAAGCATAGCTCTTAGATATCCATTCTTTGATGCAAGAATGGTGCCCTTTTACATTTTCCTCTTTTAGTGTAGTGGACTGACATTTTTAGCTTAGTATTTTGGAAGAACTCGGACTAACTGATATTTGTAATTTGGTGAAAATTTCCTAGCAAAGGGCCTGCCCTGTCTTAAGAGAACCCCAGTTCTGCGGTGTCTGGTCCAGTGCTTAATGACAGTTGTGTCCGCTAAGTATTGACTGATTACTTAAGAGAATTTGCCAGGTGATTACAGATGCTCTGAATAGTTTGCTGAGTTTTTAAAATGAACTCTTTCTCATATTTTGAAATTGCACTGTCTTCAGTGGTTACCTCCAGTGAAGACATGTTCTTAGTAGATGATAGACACAACCCTCTCTCCTGGCCTGAACTCTAGCTATTCAACCTCCAAGACCTGTCAGTATATAAACCTTTCTGATGAGGTCCATTCTTTCTCATTCTAGCAACTTGTAATCTCAAATTCAGAACCAAATACTTGTATAACAGAAAATACTTAATGGTTTTACTTTTTTTATTTAACTATCTACCAGTTACAATATGAGGGTTTAAAAACCAGTAACTTTCTGATTATGTTACCTTATTCATTTATTCTATTTGGGAAAAGTTGTTCTGTGATTGGAGATCTTTGTTTTTTATATACAAGTTTACAAAATGTGGAGTGCTGGAAAATGCTTATTCTGTAGCATTTTAAAAATTTGAAATGTCAGTGTAATTTGATAACTTAATAACAAAGACTGTCACAGAAACAGCATAAAGTGTGTGCTCTTAAACACATTAAAAAGCATCGGCATGTCAGACTGTCTGCCACATTAAAGAGATCCTAGTCCTTCCTATTACAAATGAATGCTGTGGTGCCTTATTTCCGGTTATCACAGCTCTTAAACCCTTTGTCTTTCATGTCTGAACTATACTTTCACCACTTTCCTCTGGGTTGTAGTGCTCTGTAACTGTCCGCTGAGACCTGAGTGTCTGCCCATCCTTCCACTGATCAATGTACTAAATTTGATCTTCTTTTTTTGAGCAGGAGTATTCAACGAAGCAGCTGACCAATCTGGTTAATGTTTGCCTGGGATCCCATATCAATAAAAAAGCAAGACAGAAACTTCTAGCAGCTATAGATGACATAGACAGACCCAAAAGATAATGAACACAATTCTCTTTCCTCAATGCCATTGATCTTCTCTCAACATCTGTGGAATGGAAGCCAATTTTTCATGCCTCCTGACAGCAAGCTGCAAAGAATACTTCGTGCATGTTCTTTCCAACTGGAAAGTGGAAAATACTGAAGTCCGTGTGGTGTTCTGAAATGACCTTCATATGCTCTGATCTCTTCTCTTCAACTCTTAGTCTCATTTGTTATATTTCTTTCCTGAAATGATATCGTTGCCTTGTCATAACTATTGTTATATGATTACCATTATGCATTTTACAGAAGAATGGACTGTAAGTATATAATTATAGGGAACTGTGATGATATGTCCATGGGCAGTTTTTGGAGAATGCATTTATGTTGATATTTTTCTACCCTCTGACTTGGTTCTTATTAATTAGCATAATATTAGAGGGTTAATGTACAGTATCTCCTAATTATGAGCACTGCATGAGCGCTGAGAAGTACATGTAAGCAAAATGGTTGAAAAATTAGTATGTTCTCTGTGTTTTCTAATGTGAAAGTTGTCAGTTTTAAATTGGTTATGATACAGTGATCATACATGGTAAAATTTAATAAATGGTACACTCCAACATGACCAGCCTATATGAAACTGCGTTTTGATATCTTTCCACAGCAGGCAGATTTCATAAAAGTACAATGGATTTTCTTGGCATGTTTTAATATTGGTCATCTTAAATCCTGAAACCAATGGTGAAAAGTAATTTCATTAGTTACACCTTTTCAGTACCTGAATGGCACACAGAATGGTGATTGTGGGATTTTAAAAAAGTGAGATATTTGGTATCAGCTTTGTTCTCTTTGAATTCAACTTTTGTCTTAGGACAGCACAACCTGGCTTAGCTGACTCATGGAAAGAACTCTCTGTTAGTCAAACATAAGTACAGGTTCATGTGTTCACTTTCTTAAAATATCTGCTCTGTAGGACAGATGTAAAATAATGTGAGTTTAGCCAATGATAAACTTTGGAACTCAGCAACTGTGTACTGTTCTTTTAAACTTTGTTTTGAAGTCAGGCATTTTCTACCAACCTACAGAAAACCAACAGAGGCTTAATGGAGATATAACCCTACCATTTATCAATGTCTTAAGGTTGTCGGGAGAATAGTATCAGTTCTTTTCATAGCATTCTTTGTAGTTTATAAACTTATAAATACAAAGACCCAGTATTTTCCTCTCCTGGCCCATTTGTTTACACATCTCCTTGCACCCCCAGCTTCATTGACTAAACAAAAGCACTGGCTACTATTTCTTTAGATAATGGGATGGCTATTTTAAAATTTATTTGGGCTGAGGTCTATCAGTTACCTCTTCTGTGTCATTAATCTTTGAGACAGGACTTGTAGCAAGCAAACTAACAGCAGTTTTGTCCTTGAGATTTAAGTGTGTGTCAGTAATAAAATTCTAAATGAGATGATAATTAGCACACACGCAGGGACTGAGATTTGGCTGTACCTGATATACATTTTTCAGTAAGTATTTTGTCTTAATCTTTAGAAGCTCACTTGTTGGAAGCTGGCTTAAATGCTTTTCTAACCATCTTGTAGAGAAAAGGCAAGATGATCTTTACAATTTAAGTTCCATTGGTCTTGTTGAGTATAGCAGGGTAGTTTTCAACATATTGGCAATTTGAAATGTTGTTTGACCATTATCATAAGAACTTAGCTCTTCTTGTTTCAGGCATCTTGGTTTTGTTGTTGTTAGTTTTGTTGTTGTTAGGTATATGAAGAGGTAATTTGGGAAGAGATGATGATTTAATAAAAATGATGATGGCATGGAGGACTGCCAGGGGTTGGGGTGTGCAGATATTGATCAGTTGATGCCATGAGCTGCTGTTCCCAAAGTTTCAGGGGCAGTATATAAATAGCATAATTGTAGTATTTGACATGGGAAGACAGCAATGACAGCATCACACTAGAATTGCCCATCTGGCAAGGCAGAGTTGGAGGGTAAAAAATATTTTAGTAAAAATGGGTAACAAAAAAGATGAGCATTTATCTCTTCCCACAGTGACTTTCTGCTTATAGGCAGGGGAGTGACAAGTAGGCAGGCAGTGTCAGGAGCCTTGTGAACCCAAAGTTCATCGGGATCAGTGAATCTGCTGGGGAGAAGCATATGGCCCCGGCAGCAGGGATCTCACAGTGTGGATGTAGCCTAGGGAACAACATGACAAGGTGCTAATAAGAAGCTTCCAGAGTAAAATCTAGTAGTTTTGAAGCTGGTAGGAAACTTAGAGGTCACCTAGTGCAAGCTTCCGGTAGGTAAGTTACCGATGCCTGATGCCTGTAATCTCTGGGCATCCACAAGGAATGCTTCATAACATTCCCACCTGGTCAGCTACTTCCTGAGAATTTCCAGCCACAGGAAACTCAACTTCCTCACAGGCTCTGATCATCAGAGATCTTCCTGGACCTGAAACTGCATTCCATGGGGCCTGCATTTCTTGCCCTGTGTTTTGCCCTCCGATCAGGGGAAATGTGGACACCTGTCTTGACTCATTTTGAGCTTGTAGTCAAGTGAAGCTCTTAAGCTCATTCAGTGCTGTTAAAAATCTATCCTCTTCAGCATTGGTATAGTTTTGAGTGTCAAGTCAAGATCTTACATAATTTTCATCTAACTATTGTTTTACTTTGGGTCTTGTCACAGCCTGTCTAGAATTTGTTGGTTCCAGATTCTGTCAGTTTAGAATATGAAGCCTGTGCTACTTTGCTCCCCTCATGACAAGGATGTGTGCCTTGCATGTCCTCACTCATGGGCAAAAATGTAAGTGGCACAGAACCAAGGAAAGAGCTCATGGGCCCAGCACCAGGCAGCTGAGTTCCAGTAATCAGAACTCTGAATAGGTGCATAAGAGCCGTGATGCACTACACTTTCTCACTTTCCCCATGTTTTACTGATTTGACTATAAAGATAATATGAAATTTTGTGAAATTCTTTGGTGGGAATAAAATTCTAGTAACACCCTCAAAATGGAAAGTGGGTACAATTTGATTTTCTTTTCTGACTTGAATCTGTGCTGGCTTTTGATAATGACCATTTATTTTTATGTGTTCACCAGCTATTTTTTTAACATTTTATTCTTGAAATCTGCCAAGTCCATGGGTAGCTCACCCAGATGATTGTGCGGTAAGCCTAATTCCTCTCAATAAATTAATTCCAGACTTCAGACACCTCTCCTCCATTCAAACAGTTGTACAGGGATTTCTGCTGTTCTTGCTTCCTTTATAACCACAGGAAGAAGATGTATACTCCTGTGAAGGTGTGTGCTTACTTTCTGAAGTGTTATCTCTCTCTCTGACTTTCATTTATCTTAATAGTGTTTGTTTTTCTAATTGTAATGAGCATGCTTTTCAGAAAACCTAATTACTATTACTCCACAAGCCTCAAGCAGTGAGTGATGTGTTTTCCTCCTTCCTTCTTGGAACACATATGTAAAAACCCTAGTTGTCCTGAGGCAATTTTTTAAATTTTATCTTTATTGTTGAAAGTATAGATGTTCTCCCCTCTCCTCTGCACCATTGACCCCCTCTACCCTGCTCCTTCCCTCTCCCCAGGCCTTCACTGCACTATTGTCTGTTCATAGGTTATGCATGATGTATGCATATGAGTTATTTGGTTAATCTCTTCTGCTCTGGATCTATTTTGTTCATCAGTTTATTTTGTTCATTAGATTATACATATAAGTGAGATCATGTGATATTTGTCTTTCTCTGACTGGCTTATTTTGCTTAGCATATTCTGCAAGTCCCTCCATGCTGTCTCAAAGGGTAAGAGATCCTTCTTTTTTGCAGCTGGATAGTATTTCACTGGGCAAATATACCATATCTTTTTTATCCACTCACCTATTGATAGGCACTTGGGCCTTTTCCAGATCTTAGCTATTGTAAATAATGCTGCTATGAACACAGGGCTGCATATAGGGTGCATATATCCTTTCTGATTGGTTTTCAGGATTCTTAGGATATAGTCCTAGAAGTAGGATCACTGCATCAAATGGAAGTTTCATGACCAAGTGGGGTTTATCCCAGGAATGCAAGGCTGGTATAATATTTACAAATCAATAAATGTGATACATCACATAAGCAAAATCATATGATCATATCAATAGGTGCAGAAAAAGCATTTGACAAAATCCAGCACCCATCTATAATAATAAAAGCATAATATGCTAATTAGACCGGACAGCCGAACAACCTTCTGGACGACCTTCCGGATGGACAAAGCCAGGGCTGCGAGGGCCAAGGCAAGCCTCCGCGGCTGGGAGGGCCAAGCCCCTTGCATGAATTTCGTGCATCAGGCCTTTAGTTTTTTATAAAACCTTTCAACAAAGTGGGAATAGAGGCCGCAACACAGTAAAGACCATTTATGACAAACTTACAGCCAACATCATACTCAATGGGCAAAAACTGAAAGTGTTACCCTTAAGAACAGGAACAAGACAGGGATATCCCCTTTCACTACTTTATTCCACATAGTACTGGAAGTCTTAGCCAAAGCGATCAGACAAGAAGAAAACAAAAGGCATCCAAACTAGAATGGAGGAAGTGAAACTGTCATTATTTGCAGATGACATGATATTGTGTATAGAAAACCCTAAAGATTCCATCAAAAAAACAGAGTTAATAAATTAATTTGGCAAAGTAGCAGGAATCAAAATTAATGTCCAGAAATCAAAGGCATTTTTATACACCAATAATGAGTAGTTTTCTTTTTGAACTGTCTTTGCAAAGTTTTGATATCAGGGTAATAACGTCATAGAATGAATTAGGAAATATTTCTTCCTATTTTACTTTCTGGAAAAGATTGTTTAGAATTGTTGTTAATTCTTTAGTGAAGCAATCTGGGCCTGGAGATTTCTTTTAGGGGAGATTTTAAATTACCAGTGCACTTTCCTTAATAGATATAGGGCTATTCAAATGATCTATTTCATAGTGAGTTGTGACAGTAGGTGTTTTTTTTTTCAGTATTTATTTTGTTTCATGTAAGCTGTTATTTGTATAGAATGCTTTGTAATATTCTCTTATTATCCCTTTGGTGTCTGCAGGGTCTGGGGTCTGAAAAAATTGATAATGTGTCTTATCTTTTTTCACTTTTAAGTCTTGATAGAGGTTTGTCCATCTTATTGATCTTTGCAAAGAGCCAGCTTTTTATTTCATTGACTTTCTCTATTATTTTTCTGTTTTCAGTTTCATTGATTTTGCCCTTATTTTATTTCTTCTTCCTGCTTGTTTGGGGTTCTTTTGATCTCCTTTTGTGGTGGGCACTTAGATTATTGATTTGGAACTTCTTCTCTTTTCTAGTGTAAGCAGTGAGTGCTGTAACTTTCCTTCTCAGCACTGAGTTAGCTTTTCCCCACAAGTTTTGACATTATGTATTTTCATTCAGTTTGATTTATCTTTTCATTTTCCTTGAGGCTTCCTCTTTGACCTACAGATTATTTAGAAGTGTGTTGATTTAGAACTGCATTTCCAAATGTTTGGAGATTTCCCTCTTTCTTATTGATTCCGGTGGAGTCAGTTCAATGGAGAAAAAATAATGCAGAAAAGGCATTTTAAAAAAAAATTCATCACCCATTCATGATAAAA